CAACACATGGTCATCAGCCTGTTTTCTGCTTCTATTTTTGGCCCTGGTGGAGTTTCCTCACTTTCTTTTAAGCTCAGCTAGAAAAAAAGATGTTTCTTTTCTGTAAAATGGGAATGATGATGATGATAATATAAATTCCTGCTCCAGGAATTTAATCTACTGCAATATATAATAAAATCTACTGCAATAGATAATAAAATAGGAATAAAATCTACTGCAACCATTTGGACAAATGATGAGGATGCTTGAGATTAAGCAGCTGAGATTGGTCAATAGAGACAAGCCAATACTCTTGTAAAACAACACTGGACCGCACAAGCAATGCTGCTAAAACTACCGAAGCTGGACTTGGAAACTGTCATCCACTGTATTCACCAGACCTGGCACCAGTTGACTACCACTTCTTTCAGGCTTTGGACCACTTCATGCAAGGAAAACTATTCAATGCTCAACAAGCTGTGAAAAACATCTTTTGTGATTTCATCGCCACTCCCTCTCCAGGTTTCTTCACTCCTGGCATAGACAGCTACCATTAAAATGGCAAAACTGTGTCTACAGTTTAGGCACATATTTTGATTAATTGTACTGCTTCTTGTTTGGGATATAATAAACTACATTTTTGATTTGAAATTGGACATTTCCTGTTTAATGACCTAATAGTTCACTGCAACCTCAAACTCCTGGGCTCAAGTGATCCTCCTGCCTCAGCCTCCAGGGTAGCTGGGACTATGAGTGTGTGCCACCACGCTGGCTAAGTTTTCTATTTTTTCTAGAGGCAGGGTCTCACTCTTGCTCAGGCTGGTCTTGAATTCCTGACCTCAAGCAATCCACACACCTCAGCCTCCCAGAATACTAGGATTACAGGCATGAGCCCCCACACATGGCCCACATAAAACTTTTAATTCTCCCCCAATTTTACTAATATCCTACTATTGACTAAAAGCCTTACCAATAACATAAATAGTTGATTAACACATATTTTGTATGTTATATGTATTATATTCTGTATTTTATTGTAAAAGTAAGCTAAATAAAAGAAAATGTTATTAAGAGAATCATAAAGAGGCTGGGCAGATATGAAAATACATTCAAATATTTGAATACATTAAATATATTTTATATGACTTCATGTACTTTACATAAAAATATTCAAAACAGTATTATACTTGCCAATAATTACCCATATTTTGATTTTGATTTTTCATCAGAATTTCTGGGATACTTCCCAGCTAAACATATTAAGATTCTAGAGAAAAATAAAAGATGACATTAAGCCTCCAAGTAAGAAAATTTGGGGGTGAGAAATAGCAGATGTCTAGGAATATACAACCAAACCATACATACATTTAAGTTACAAAGTTTTTAAAATTTAAACAATTCTTAAAATTCCCTTACAAAAAACATACTGATCATGTTTAAATACGTATCTTAAATATCTAAAACAAATATTTTTCTTCTTGGTCACCCCCCCCCCCAATCCTAGTGAAATAGATAATAGCAGATGAGTAGTGACAAAGTGACAAGGTGTTTCGGACATCGGCTAAATGTGAAAGGGCTAAATGTGAGAAGTTTGGTTTGTCATACTTCCTGAATAAAGTAATTAGATCAGAAACATGAACCGTAGCCTATATAATTTGCACTTTTGTAGACGATGTTACATAGGCATATAACTGTCATATCATGTTTAAAGATCTTTTCCTGCTCCCAAATTATCAATAATGCTCATTGCAGAACAGATGGGAAATATAGAAAAGTATGGCAAAGAAAACAAAAACACCTGTAATCTTACCACATAGAGATACTTACTGGCAATATTCTGGTGTTTATTTCCTTTCTTCTAAGCATATAAAAATATAAATATATACATATAAAAATGTAGTTATATTGCTTACAGAATTTGATATCTTACTTTATTCACTGAATAAAATGGTGTTGAGTTGCTCTCTCTTCTTTTTATATATTCTTCACAAGAATTTATGATATTAATTGCCAAATGAAAAATCTTTCATTGAATGGATGTAATATAAAATAATTTAAAGAGTGGTATTTATAATTTTATAGCTTTTACTTATATTTTGTATATTTAGTTTGTATTTTTATAGCTTTTAGTTTTATTTTGCACATTTTATATATTTTTTATTTTGTTATTTTGTACACACTTTTAAAAGCTTTAAAATTACAAATATATACCACATTTTTGATAACTGATGCCTCTCAGCACACAGTTCAACTGGTACCTGGTCTCGTTATGTTTTCATAACCTCTCAATGGCTAGGAAGAGCCTCCAAGTTAGACACCGTATACAATGGTACTATAGCTCAGCAGTTAGAGTCACATTCCTGAGTCGCATTTGAAAGCAACAGATTCTGTAGTAAGTCACACATGGATAACTGAAAGTCTGCTTGTAAAGTTCACATGCTGAACTCCTATAAGCTGTAAAACAGAGTATATGGGTTTGTGATCCAACCTATTCCTAATTGTGGTGTATAAAATGAACACTGTTACCTAGAAGAGTAAGAATGAAAGGCTGAGGCATATTAAGTATTATTCATTAGATTTATTGCTTACTAGAATCAAGGAAGCTTTTCAACTTTCAGTTAGTCCAAAGGGAAAAATTAATTACCTCAAGTTCATTATATTCCCTATATAATGCCATAATAATTTTTAACCAAATAAACCATGACAAGACTTATGGTTAAATAAGAGTGATACTTAGTGTTTTATGAGATCCAAGGGGAAAGATTCTTAAATTATAACCTTCTGTTAGGTTTTATTAAATATAATTAAATAAAATGTCCTGTCAGAAAGGCAGAATACGGAACACAGATATGAAGTTGGAAAACCACATCTGTTCATAAATATAATAATGGAATAAATCACTTGCTTCAGAAAAAATTCATTCCCAAATATTGATTTAACAGGCTATCTGTATTATAATCATAGCCCAAAAGAGGCTCAAAATAAGGCATTAAGGCAATCAGTTACAATACACTTAGATGTCCACAATCTTTTATCTGTTCAAATAAAATATGTCATAATTTATCTGGCTTCTGTTTACTTTGATTCTTAGACCTGAAAGCAGAATTTTAGCTTAAAACATTAGACTAAGTAAGTATTATAAGAAACATGTTTTCTGCATTGTAGTCATCTGCCATCTACAGTAATTACCAGGTTTAATATCATAAATTAGCTCAGTATCAAATAAGGCAAAATGAAATACTGGGTTATCCGTGACACAGATGTGTGTAAATAAGTACACCTAGCTCTTTTTCTTATCAGAGCTACATTTTTTTCCAGTGGGTACTATCAAAGTGTTCTCCCTAATAAGTACAGCTGGCCCTCGGTATCTGCAGGTCCACATCATCAGATTCAACCAACCAGATCAAAAACATTCAGGAAAAAAAGGATGGTTATGTCTGTACTGAACTTGTACAGACTTTTTTTTAATCCTTATTCCCTAGATATTAATAGTACAGTATAACAAATACTTACATAGCATTTACATTGTTAGGTAATCTATAGATTGTAAATAATCTATAGATGATTTAAAGTATATAGGCAGATATGCATAGGTTATATGCAAATATGCCATGTAACATAAAGGATTTGAGGATCACAGATTTTAGTATCTGTGGCAGGGGTTGGGGGTGGGGTGTGTCCTGGAAGCAATTCTCCATGGATACGGAGGGACAACTGTATGTTCCCAACCTGGCACACAAATGATGCTCTCCATGTGTTCTTTATTCTTATACAACTGAAGGTGTGTAGCCAAATGATTCAGTGACATGGAGATGAGGCCTCAAGAAACAACCCCTTCCAGGTCTGAGAATAGAAATAGTCATTCAAATATGTAGCTCAATGTCATTCTGGGCTAATTTCTAGGACTCTCTCTCCTAAAACAGGGCTTCTTTTTTAGCTAATCTAACTGGCATAAATTCATGAGAGGGAAGGAAAGGGAGATCTTACCTATAGTATTCCGGCTACAAAAAACAAAAAGTCATGACATTTGATCAAAATCCTCCTTCTAAAGACTTCCTTTTAAAAATCTGGAATTTATGGGCGGGGCGTGGTGGCTCACGCCTGTAATCCTATAAATAGAAAGAAATTAATTGGCCAACAAATATATAGAGAAAAAATTAGCCGGGCACGGTGGTGCATGCCTGTAGTTCCAGCTACTCAGGACGCTGAGGCAGAAGGATTGCTTGAGCCCAGGAGTTGGAGGTTGCTGTGAGCGAGGCTGACGCCACGACACTCACTCTAGCCTGGGCAACAAAGTGAGACTCTGTCTCAAAAAAAAAAAAAATCTGGAATTTATGAAAATATTAATTTCATAACTCTTTAGAAGCTACGCTCACTAATGTGGACAACTTTAAAGAAGAGCCAAGAAAAATGAGCTTACAGCATAGTGATATAGGCTTTTTGGCACTGTCTTTATATAGGTATCTGTCCCTTCCTGCAATACTGGAACATGGTAGGGATCTAACACTCAACATGCAGCACAGTGGAGCCAAAGGAACCTTAGGCAGTCCAGACTGATCAATAATGCTGTTAACAGTATGTGACTTATAGTTGGCCTTCAATCTCATTCTTACTATTATCTTTTTCAAGACAGAAGATTTTTAGATCACCCATTCTTTTTTTTTATTAGGAACTTTATACAAAAAGAAATGTATTTTTAAAATTTTTATCTATTATTTTTAAAATACAACTTAAATGTTTATGGGCGAATCAGCTTTGGCTAGCTCACATGGGACATACATCAGAATAAAATGATTTTCTTTTATGGTAGTAAGAGGAAAATGTATTTAAGTGAAATTAAAGTAATAACAATTGCTAACATTCATTGAGCCTTTACTGTGTGTCAGGCACTATTTTAAGTACTTTACATGGATAACCTCATTTAATTTTCCCAACAGCTCTATTAAATGTGATGGTATTAATATCCTCAGTTTACAGATAAGGAAAGTGTAAATAGTGTAGATACAATTTAAATCATTTTACCAAAATTATTTTTGTAGGCTGCCCTTCATAAGAACTCAAGGTCTGTGTTTACTAATAGCATGAAACAGATTATTATCGTGTTCCTCTTAGGTACAACAAAATGGTGAAGTTGCCCCAGCTTTGATGGATTTCTTTGTTCTAGCTAGTAGCAAGTTTTAAGTTGTTTACTAGTGCAGCTCTCCTAAGAGAGCAGTGATTCTGGCAGTCCGAGGGGGCAACAGCAAATCAAAGATGGGGGCCCATACCCTGGCGGCAGGGGGATTATCAGGCCTAAGGACAAGCACATTTCTAGGAATGTGGTTTCTGCAGAATACAATATTCACACATCGAAGTGAGTAGTCATGACATTATAAAAGTGAAATCAGAAGGGAGGAGTGGGGATAGAGTATGGTGAATTTCCTTCAATCGCAATTGAACACAATCAGCTTCTTCCTGCCTAAAAATTATGGTCCTACCTCACATTTCTTCAAATATATTAATTTTTTGTTTGTACAACATCCTGAGTGGTGCTTCTGTCATACCAACAAAAAATCTTTGTGTGAAAGTTTGAAAACAGCTACTGCTTTCAATTGAAAGTAGGAACAAAAAGTGCTGATTTCTTTTTTAGGTATGACTAAAGCAGATTATGTGTTTGGATCCCCTTCTTCACCTAGCCCTCTGAGACCAACTGGTACATTTGTTCAGGTAAATCTAGTGCAAAACTGAGAAGGAAGCCTCTGTCATCTCTTTATTCAAGAGACACTTACTGAGTGCTCGCCCCTCTGTGCCAGGTCCCGGCCCAGGTGCCCTGGGCCCTCCTTCCTTCTGACTAACCCTCACCACTCCTCTGAGCGCTCACCTGCGGTGCGTGGTGAGCCTGGCTGGGCACTGGGTAGCAGGGCCTTGTTTAAATATTCCAGCTTACACATCTTGCTTTTCAGTTAACTTGCAAAATTCCGCTACCCACACGACTAACTTCAGCTCTCCTTGGATACGGTTTCGGTTTCAAGGCTGTTTCAGATGCTATTCCTTTCGATTTTGTAAGCCAGTGTATTTCATTTTTTAGGCAGTGCTTTTACATGAAGACAAAAAGAAACAAAATACAACAGTTTTTTTGAGTCCCCAGTCAGGTATGTGGGTTTTAAAAAAAACACAAATGTGTGTTATTTTATTTACTGCATACTTTACCACGTGCCTTTTGCACTCTTGCTTTGAATAAGTAGTTTCAACAGGGATGGACATCAGAATCACTTGGGGTAACTTTTAGAAACAGTTTCCTGACCTCCACCTTCATTTCCTAAATCTGATTCTCCAGTGGTTACACCTGGGCCTGTGTATTTTGTAAATGTTCCTGGTGATTCTTATGCCACCCCTGAGTAGTAACCATAGTCTTCAATTATTCGTTCCTCCCCTGTGCTTTTTGTTTCTGCTTTGAAATTGCTGCTGTCTTAACAGCAGTGTTTTCTCCTTGTGGGGATTATTTGCTACGCACCAAAAAAAGGAAAGAAAGTAATTGTTAGCCTGAACCCCACTCCTCACCTCAGCTACGCCATTTACTCATTCCTTCAGCAAGTATTTATTAATCCTTCCCCTCCCTTCCTAAGTGCAGGGCACTGGCTTCAACACTAAAGATACCTCAGTGAGCAAGCAAAGCCCCTTCTCTCATTGACTCCACATTCTGGTCAGAAGATATAGACAATGAGGAAATGCGTAAATATTAATAACATTTCACGTGGTGGCAGATGCTAAGAAGAAATACAATGCAGGAAAAGGGAAAGAGTGTTGGACAAGGAGGCAGCCTCTCTGATAAAGTAACATTTAAGCAAAGAATCAAATGAAAGAAAGGGGCAAGTCAGGGGGAAATTGGCACTGGACCGTTAAAGGCAGAGCTGAAAACAGCTCTTGTCTTGCAGCATCGCTGAGGCAGTGTGGCAGGAGTGGAGCAGGCCAGCGGGTGACCAGTAGTGATACGGAAAATGCCTGGCGCTGGGACGTGGCCACTTGCTGCCTTCCCATCGCTCTGCATCTCCGTGGGCCAACCCTGCGTGTGGCCAGTTGGAGGGCATGCTGCTGGGGCCCGCCCGCAGCAGAGAGCCAGCCGGCCGCCACTGCCTAGATTACGGCCGCTGCTTGCTTGATCCTGATTGGGTAATTTTTGAATCCCACTGTTTTTGATTGGATGTTAAAGCTTGTTGTTGATTGGATGTTAAAGCTTGTAGTTGATTGGATGCTTTTTGAGCCCTACCAAGGGTATAAAAGCAGGAGGAGCCCAGGAAGTGAGGAAGAAGGAGCAGAAGATCAAAAGACAGGAAGAGAGCTGTATCACTGGGTGTGCTGAGCCTGCCAGAGGAATAAAGGCTGTTCTCCGACTCTTCCTGTGCCGCAACAGTAGGAGGTGAGGTCACAGAGCAAATGGGTCTGAATTGTGAGTGTCTTCAGCAACAGTAGCCACTGGAGTGTTTTTCTCTAAATCAGATGAGACTGTTACAGGGTTGTAAGCCAATGAGTGATGTTATTTTAAAAGACTTACAGCTGTTGTGCAGGGGCAAGAGTGGAGATTTAGAATGCCAACTAGGAGGCTACCACAGTAGTTCAGGAGAGAGAGATGACTGGTCATATTCTGGATGTTTTGAACATAGCACCAACAAGATTTGTTGATGGATTAGATGGTAAAGTATGAGAGAAAAGTGACTCAGAGATGACAGTCCAATTTTGGGCCTAAACACTGGAAAAATGAAGACTGAATTTACCGTGCAGGGGAAGACTCAGAAAATAGAAGGCTTGGAGCAGAAATAGAGTTCTATTTTAGACATGTAAGTTTAAGATACCTTTTGGATACCTGAGTAGCGAGGTTGAGCAGCCAATTTAGATACTCCAGGAAAATAAACAAAGGAGACCAAGACAAAGTGGTCAGTGGGGGTTGTTGGTTCCAGGATACCCCCCACACCAAACCCGCGGATGGCCGAGTCCCTTGCAGGCACCCTCCATATCCGCAGGGAACGTAACTGTACTTTGAATGTTATTAACAGGAGAAAAATTAATGGAATTATTGAGTTATTGAAGTATCTGTCAATAGCAAGATGAATTATCTCAAGTAAAAAGTGATCCAAACAGAACTAGGCATTTACTTTTTTGATGTGTGAATTTCACAGATTTTGGGGTTTTTTAAATAATTGAGGAAAACATTTGAAATGGCATCAGATCTCTTTATAATCAAAATTTAAAAGAAAGGTAAATAGGCAGATAAGTAGGCTCTATGAGAAAACAGAGCAACTGTGTCCTGGGAAGGTTTGTAATTATTCTCAGTAGAATGCAGAGACTTAAAAATAAGAGTTTGGTGTGTACAGTGCCTCACACCTGTAATCCTAGCACTTTGGGAGGCTGAGGTGGGAGGATCACTTGAGGTCAGGAATTTGAGACCAGCCAGAGCAAGACTGGGCAAGACCTTGTCTCTACAAAAAATAGAAAAATTAGGTGAGCGTGGTGGTGTGAGCCTGTAGTACCAGCTGCTCGAGAGTCTGAGGAGGGATGATTGCTTGAGGCCAGGCGTTTGAGGTTGCAGGAGCTTTGATGATGCCACTGCACTGTAGCCTGGGCAACAGAGTGAGACCTTATCTCAAAACAGAAACTAAAAATAGTTCTATTGGGAAAACCCCTACATCAAATAAAAGTGAAATGAGAATGGGCCTGCTGTGGGGTGAGCTGAGTGATACTGAGAGCAACCCTGAAAGGTAGGTGAGGAGATTGATGCCCTAGATCAAGCCCAAGTTGACTCTGAGAGTGAGTCCAAGAGATGAAGTACATGGGAAACACTCCAACCCATCCCATGTTGCTGGAATTCTTTTCCCCCATAATTCCTCTGAGATTTTGAGGTTCGCATAGATACCATGTGTAGACAAACCAAAAGAAATGTTATTTTCATAAGCTTCAGCCTTCAAATATTTTCAAAACATTTTACATAGGAAAAATACTGATCCTTCTTTGGTCAAGATGTTCATTTTGCCAAGCATATAAAGTATAGTAGTGTTTAAGGACATGGTTTCCTGCAGTCAGATTACATGGCTGTGACTTCTAGCTTTGTGATCTTGAATGACCTCCTTATCTTCCACATGCCTCAGTTTTCCCACCTGTAAACAGGGGATGATAATACCTGACTGGCAGTGATGTTGAGAAATTCATGTAAAAGCACTTAGACCAGCACCTGCATGTGTGAGAGCAGCAAAAAGCTTGTGGTGCCGATTCCATTGATGTGTCGTTACCTCTGCAGGGTACTGCCATGCCTGCAGGCCCCAGCATTCTTCCTGCTGGAGGCTTCACACATTGGAAAGCAGAATTTTACTATAATTTTATAATTTGTTTTAAAGTGGGAGAAATAGGGATGCCTGGCATTACCAATTGACAGTAAGTTGGATTTCTGTAATTACCTTCTCAGTAAAAGATTTACTACAGAGAAAATTTATTACAATAATTATGGTACTTTATATAAGAAAAAATGAAAACATTTATAGGTGGTTAAAATCCATCCAATAAATTAAACTCTTCCAGTATGTATACGACAGATTAAGTTTTTCCTTGATAAATGTATGCAAATCACTTACATTGTTATAAGTGTGAAATAATATCTCAACTGTAAGTAGTATTGATTTCTCCAAAGTTCTTCCTTTCCATAGTATTAAGTCTGTCTGTGACCCACAAGCAGTTTCCTAGGAGAGCGTGTTGGTACAGACAGCCCCTGCTCTCATACTTTAGCTGTACTGACCTTTGGCAAGAGGTTTAGCTTCTCTGAGCACCAGCTGTCCACTCCATTGAATTGGTGGTAACACCACCTATCTTACAGGGTGCTAGAGAAGATAAAAGCACCCACCCACAGTAAGCACTCAGGTTCTTTCCTCTCTGGATACTTACCTCCATGCCTTTCTACTACTAGGCTGCATATAGTTCGTAACTCCCAAACTAGACAGTAGTGGACAGAAAGTTCCAAGGATTTCCTTCTTCCTCATTGTTACTCCCTCCCCCATGTACACACAGCTAACACAGTGCCTTACATATTCAATAAGTTTTATTGATTAAATGTGAACACATTTTAAAGAAATAAGACTAAGTGGGAGAATGGTTAAGAACATTAGTGTTGGCCAGACATAGTGGCTCACACCTGTAATCCCAGCACTTTGGAGGCCAAGGTGGGAGGATCACTTGAGACCAGGAGCTCAAGACCAGCCTGGGCAATGCAGCCAGACACTGTCTCTACAAAAAATAAAAAAGTTAACCAGGCATAGTGGTGCACGCCTATAGTCCTAGCTACTTGGGAGGCTGAGGCAGGAGGATCACTTGAGTCCAGGAGTTCAAGGCTGCAGCAAACCATGATGATGCCCCTGCACTCCAGTCAGAGTGAGATCCTTACTAAAAAAAATAAATAAAATGTGAGTTTTAGTCATACCCTTGGGTTTGAAATCCAGCCCAAACATTTATTAGTTGTGTGACCTCTATCAAGTTATCTGTGCCTCAGTTTCCCTATTGGTAAATTGGGCTAACACCTCACAGGACTATTGGGCAGATTAACTTCATACAGATAAAGCACTCAACACAGCAGCAGACACAGACACTTCACTCAATAAATTATCACTCCCCTTGCCCTAATCAACCCAGGGCCAAATAACCAGGCAGCCTCTATACCCTGAAACCCACTGAAATTATTCAAACTATTAATATCTAACTCTAAACCTGTTTAGCCTGCCTCTCCCATTCCTTCCCACAAAATCCACAATAAACACTCTCGCCAACATTCTCCTTTTCCTCTTTTTTTTTTTCCCCTTGGAAACAGCTTTATTTACAAAACACATCTAAGATAACATGAAATGACAAGCTTTTGGGAAATGCAGGCGAGGTGGCTCTTGGGGACCCATGTGTGAAGCCCAGACATCCAAACGACCTAAAGGAGGGCCAGGTGTGTGACAGGGACCTAAAATTTGAACTCCTTGTATTTCTTGCTGCCCCCACGGCTGTCCTGGGGCTGAGCTTTCCGCTTCTTTTGCTTCTGTTTGGCAGCATGCTCCGCCACCATGTCACTGAAGTCTTCCTTCTCCACTTGTGCCTGCTGCTCCCGCACGTGCTCCTCATACTTCTGGGTCATGGCCATGGGATCCAACTCCAACTCTTCAGGTGCCAGGGCCACTTCCACACCTTGCAGCTGGGGGGCCGGGCCCTTCCGGCTCATAACTGTGGACATGTCATAAATGTGGGTTGATCCCATCATAGCTCCCCCAACGGTGGCTGTTCTCTTCTCTGGCAATACAGTGAACAGCTGAGGAGTCTCACTTCCATCCATTGCCTCCTCAATCTTCTTCTTTCTCAGCTCAATGATGAGTTCAGGGGTCTCCATTCCAGCTGGGACTGATGAGAACCCTCCAGGAGTGATGAGGCCACTGTCTGCAGGGGTAATAAAGCCTGTCTCATCTGGTTTGTCTTCATCGCTATCCTCTTCTTCCTCTTCTTCTGAAGATTCTTCATCAGATGGCTCCAGTTCCCCCCAAGGGGTCCGATCAATCTCTTCTTCCTCAGTCTTGGTCTGAAATTCAGCAGCATTGGTTCCAAACACGTCCCCATAGAGTGGTTTCCCAGTCTCATCTACTGGGGGTTTGCCCCAGCCACCAGCATGGTACCCAAAGGAACAGCTCTCAGGGATGGGCGAGTGCAGGCCGGGGATTTTCAGGTTGGGGTAGGACGGGGGTGGCCCATATCTCTGCATGGCAATCAGCCACGGAGGAGGGACCTTGTGGGCATTTGGTCCTACTGGCATCCCCAAGGAAATCCTTAGCTCGTCGGACAAATCTCTTGGCTTCTTCTTCAGTCGTGTCTCAAACTCCTTCCCCTCATAGTATAGGTCCCCATGGATGGTCAGCTTTGGTTTGGTCTGCCACTTGAAGAAGGCATCATGCAGTTTCTGGTAGTCAATGTCAATCTTGCCCATCTTGGGCCGAACCTTCTCTCGCATTTTTGACTTCATGGTCTTCTGTTCTTCCTTTTCCTGCAGGGCCTCCCGCATCTCCTGGATGCCTGTGCGTTTGATGAAGTCTGGCAGCTCGAACGGGGGCTTCTCGATACCCCGTTTACCCTGCAGGTACTTGCGCTTAAAACACCAGTGGCGTGGCACAGGCACGGAGTTCCGAGTGGCCTTGAGGTGAACCAAGAGCTTAGGGTCCTGTGCTGTCACATCATGCATCTCCACGACGTCAGGCCGAGCCACCAGCTGCTTGAGCTCAGCCACAGTGAAGCGATTCATCCGGCGCATCTTCTTCTTGGACAGCTTGGGGGCTTCTGGCTTTTCCTGTTCATCATCACTGCTGTCATCGTCACTGTCCTTGTGCTCCTCCTCAAAGCCCTTCTTCTTGGGGGCTGCAGAATTCTCCAGTTTGTCAAGTTTCTCTGGCTCCTTCTCTTTCTCCTTCTTCACATCGTCGGTGAGCTTGAAAGCCTCAAAGATCCTGTTGAAGAAGATGAAGTTGGGCTCGTAGATTTCAGGTTCTTTGGTCACATACTCGATCTCAACATCAGCAGCTGGGGAGTCAGAGCCCCGGGACCGGGCTGAGTCTTTCTCTCGGTCCCCAGAGCTCTCAGATGACACCCCCCCCGCACCCGCTGGGGTTTTTTCTTCTTCTTTCGGTTCCGACGCTTCCGGTTTTTCTCTTTTTTGGATATGGACACTGTGTCCTCCTCAGTCTCTGATGCTGACTGGCCCAGGGATGAGCGAGTGTCTGTTTCCATTTCCTCTTCCTCCTGCTGAGAGTTCATCTCCTCCTGGCGGCTCTCCTTCAGCTGCAGGATCTTCTCCAGGGCCTGGGGTATCTTGGGGCCCACAGAGGGGTCATCCATCTCTCTGTTCTCATCTCCAGGGGGTGGGGGGGGGACCACGAGGCCGAGGAACAGGGGCTCCCATGGGCAAAACAGTGGGAGTGGGGCCCACTGGAGCAGCCACTCGAGGACCCAAAGGAGTGCGCACACCCATCTGGCCCAAGTCTTGTGGGGGCCGAGGGACAGGGGTGCCCATCTTGGCAATCTCCTGCTGCCGTTCCTGCTCCAGTAACCCGGCTGCCCGCTTCTGCTGCTCCAAAAGCTCATGTTCCTTCAGTGAATGATCTCCCTGCTGCTTGGCACGCTCCTCTTGCTGCATCAACAACGCCGCCTGCTGTTGTGCTAGCTTCAGCAGCTCCTCCTCTGACAGTCCCACAGGCTCACCCACACGGAGGGAGTGTGGGGGGCCCAAATTTGGGGGATGGGCCATAGGAAAGCCAAGGCCTGGTGGAGGTGGTGGGGGTGGCGGAGGAGGTTGCAGAGGGGGGAGTCCCATCGGTGGCGGTGGCATGGGAATGCCAGAAAGCTGTGCTGACATGGGAGGTGGGGCAGCTTTGTCCCCATCTTCCCCTCTCAAAATCGGGGGCCGATTCAGCACAATGCCAGTCTGGCGAGTGTAGCTCTGCAGCCGCTCCACCAGCTCCTCGCAACTCCCCTGGATCGGAGCGCCGATCTCTGCCAACTTGGCCTGCAGCTCCTGGGCAGCCCAGGCGCCATAATGCCCAGGAGGTGGCTGCGGCGGCAGCTGCAATTCGGCTTTGGGAGGCTCGGGGATCTCGGTCGCCATCTTAGCCGCAGGAAGGCTCGCGCCTCCTTTTCCTCTTTTGCCTCCTGACCAACCCTGATGTTCCACCATGTGCCCTGCATGGCACAGGCTGCCTTCTTTTCTTGGGAACTGTGACTAACAAACTATCTTTGCAATGGCTATCATTTCTTGATCTATTGGCCTTACCACATTTGAATAAGAATAAAACCCACTTTGGGAACCTGAAGTGGGAGAATCACTTGAGGCTAGGAGTTCTAGACAAGCCTGGCCAACATAGTGGGACCCTGTCTCTACCCCAGAAATTTACAAATTAGCTGGGTGTGGTGGTGTGTGTCTGTATTTCTAGCTAATTGGTAGGCTCAGGTGGGAGGATTGCTTGAGCCCAGCAGTTAGAGGCTGTGGTGAGCTGCGACAGTGCTACTCCATTCTTGCCTGGGTGACAGAACAATTCATCTCTACAAAAAAATTTAAAAATTAGCTGGGCATGGGAGAGCACACCTGTAGTGCTAGCTACCCTGGAGGCTGAGGCAGGAGGATTGCTTGAGGCCAGGAACTCAAAGCTGCAGGGGTGCATATGTGGGAATATCCAGAGCTGCTCTGTCCCAGGTATGTGCCCAGTTATGTGTGATGTCTGAACTTGCTGCCCCAGCCCTGGCTCAGTGACCACCTTGCTGTAGCCCTCCCAGTCTGACCACCATGCACCCTATGCCTCATGCCGTGCTGCTGGGAGAGAGGCTCCTGATGCCCTGACTGCCTCTGTTTGCTCACCTGCCAGCCTCAGCCCCCCTGCACTCCAGGGGTTATTTCCCAAGGCCCTCCCAGTGTGAACACTGCACAAGCAAGGCCTCAGCTTACCCCAGCTAGAGTGCAGTGGCACCATCATTGCTCACTACAACCTCAAGCTCCTGGGCTCAAGCAATCCTTCCTCCGCCTACTGAGTAGATGGCACTAAAGGCACATGCTACCATGCCTGGCTAATGTTTCTAGGTTTTGTAGAGACTGGGTCTCTGCTCTTGCTTAGGCTGGTCTCAAATTCCTGGCCTCAAGCAATCCTCCTCCTTTGGCCTTCCAAAGCACTAGGATTGCAGGATTGAGTCACCATGCCTGGCCCTTGTTTGTGCCCTTTTTCTTTCATCAGTGTTTTGTAGCTTTCAGTGTACTAGTCTTTCACTTCTTTAGTTAAGCTTACTCTTAAGTGTTTTATTCTTTTTGGTACTACATTAAATAGGATTATTTTCCTAATTTCCTTTTCAGATAGTTCATTGTTAATGTATAGAAGTACAACTGATTTGTGTATGTATGTTGATTTTGTATCAACTTTACTGAATTTATTAGTTCTAACAGTTTTTTTTTTTTAAATGGGGTCTTAAGGTTTTCTACACATAAGATCATACTGTTTATAGACAGAGACAATGTTACTTCTTCCTTTCCAATTTGAATCTCATTTTTTTCTTGTCTAATTGCTCGGGCTAGGACTACATTGAATAGATGTGGCAAGAGCGGGCATTCTTCTTTGATTTCTGATCTTAGAAACGCTTTTAATTTTTCATTCTTGACTATGATGTTAACTGTGACCTTTTTATATATGGTATTCATTATGCTGCCATAGTTTCCTTCTATTCCTACTTTGTTGAGTGTTTTTTATCATCAAAGATTGTTGAATTTTTATCAAAAGCTTTTTCTGCAGCTATTTGAGATAACCGTGTGATATTTTTTTTATCCTTTACTCTGTTAATGTGCTGTATCACATTAATTGATTTTCATGTTTTCATGCATATACTTCATTCAATATGATTTTTTTTTTTTTTTTTTTTTGAGGCACTCTACCTGGGCTAGAGTACGGTGGCATCAGCCTAGCTCACAGCAACTTCAAACTCCTAGGCTCAAGCAATCCCTTCCTAGGCTTCAGTCTCCGGAGTAGCTGGGAATATAGGCATGCACCACCACACCTGGATAATTTTTACTATTTTTAGCACAGATGGGGTCTCACTCTTGCTCAGGCTGGTCTTGAACTCCTGAGCTCAACCAGTCCTCCTTCATTGGCCTCCCAGAGTGCTAGGATTACAGGCATAAGCCACTGCGCCCGGCCCTTCAATATGATTTTTATCCTTGCATCCTAGGGATAAATCCCACTTCGTAATGGTGTATGATCTTTTTAATGTGCTGTTCAATTTGGTTTGCTAGTATTTTGTTGAGGATTTCTGCATCAATATTCATTAGGAATATTGGCCTGTAGTTTTCTTGTGTCTGGCTTTGGTATTAGGATAATTCTGGCCTCATAGGATGAGTTTGAAAGTGTTACTTCCTCTTCAGTTTTATTGGAAATCTTTAAGAAGACTGGTATTAATTCTTCTTTAAGTGTTTTGTAGAATTACACAGGGAAGCCATCTGGCCCTGGGCCTTTTTTTGTTAGGGGATATTTGATTATTGATTCTATCTCCATACTAGTTACAGGCCTCCACAGTAGTTATAGGTCCAACTTTCTATTTTCTCCATGATTGAGTCTTGGTTTTATCTTTCTTTTTCTAAGCTATCCACTCTGTTGGTATATAATTTTTCACAGTCGCTTATGATCCTTTTTATTTCTGTGGTATCATTTGTAATGTGTTCTCTTTCCTGATCTTAAAGATTCCTGATCTTATTTTAATCTTCTGAATATTTTCTTAATTATATTAGCCAAGGGCTTGTTAATTTTATCTTCTTAAAAAAACCTCTTATTTTAGTTGATGTTTCTATTGTTTTTTTTCTATTTTCTGATTCATTTATTTATGTTCTAATATTATTTATTTCCAACCTTCTGCTAACTCTGGACTTAGTTTGTTCTTCTTTTTCTGACTCCTTGAGGTGTAAAGTTTGGTTGTTTATTTGAAGTATTTCTACTTTTGTAATGTAGGCATTTATTGTATAAATAATAAACTTCCCTCTTAATACTGCTTTAGCTTTAAATTTTGGTATGTTGTGTTTTCATTTTTTGTTTGTTGTTGAAGCATTTTCCAACTTCCTTTTTGATTTATTCCATGGCTTAATGGCTGTTCAAGAATGTGTTTATGTAATTTCCACAAATTTGTGATTGTTCTAGTTTTCCCTCTGTTATTGATATCTAGTTTCACTCTACTTTGTCAGTAAAGATACTTTGCGTGATTTCAGTTTTTAAATTTGTTAAACTTGTTTTGTGACCTAACATGATTAATCCTGAAGAAAGTTGTGTGTGTGCTTGAGAAGAATGTATATTCTGCTGCTGCTGGGTGGAATGTTCTGTATATGTCTGTTACACCTATTTGGTCTATAGTGTCTTTCAAGTCCTCTGTTTCCTTATCAATCAGTGGATGTTCCATCCATTATTGAAAATGAAATATTGAAGTCTTCTATTATAATTGTATTGTTGTCTATTGAAAGGAAATGGTTTAGGCTGGGTACAGTGGCTCACGCCTATATTCCTAACATTCTGGGAGGCCAAGGTGAGAGAATCGCTTAAGCTCAGGAGTTCGAGACCAGCCTGAGCAAGAGCAGACACTGTCTCCACTAAAAATAGAAAAATTAGCCATGCATCACACTGTGTGCCTGTAGTCCCAGCTACTTAGGAGGCTGAGGCAAGAGGATCACTTGAGCCCAGGAGTTTAAAGTTGCAGTAAGCTACAATGATGTCACTACACTCTAGGGTGACAGAGTAAGACTCTGTCCCAAAAAAAAAAAAGAAAAAGAAAGAAAATGATTTAATATCGCCATTTTGTTTTTTTCTGTTTTGTGTTTTCTTTTAGTCTTTAGTTCTTTTCTCTGTCCTCCTTTGTGTTTTGTTGATTTTTTTTTTTTGCATTCATATGCTTTGATTCCTTTCTCTTTTTCTTTTGTATAATTTCTGCAGTTTTGTTTTTTTTTTGTAGTTACTTTGTAGCTTACATGACACAGCTTATAGTTATAACAGTCTATTTTAAGGTGATAAGTTCAACCACACAAAAAAATTCTACATTTAACTCCTCCCCCACCCGCTTTGTTCTTGTCACGATTTACATCTATTCATATTGAGTATCTTTTAATATATTTTTACATTAGAGCTATTTTTAATACTTTAGTATTTTAACTTTTATACTACAATTGAAAGTGATTTGCCCACCATCCTTACAGCAAAATATTATGTATTTATCTATATATATTTATCTTTACCAATGAGTTTCATACTTTCTTATGCTATAGTATTGCTGTTTAGCAGTTTTGCATTTCAACTTGAAGAACTCCCTTTAGCATTTCTTATAAGGCATACCTAGTGGTGATGCACTCCCTTTTAGCTTTTGTTTGTTTGGGGAAGTCTTTATGTATTCTTAATATTTTTTTATATTATTATTATTATTATATTTTTGAGACAGAGTCTCACTCTGTTGCCTAGGCTAGAGTGCCATGGCGCCAGCCTAGCTCACAGCAACCTTCACTCCTGGGCTCAAGTGAGCCTACTGCCTCAGCCTCCCGATAAGCTGGGGCTACAGGCATGCGCCACCATGCCCGGCTAATTTTTTCTATATATTTTTAGTTGGCCAATTAATTTCTTTCTATTTTTACTAGAGAAGGGGCCTTGCTTTTGCTCAGGCTGGTTTCAAACTCCTGACCTTGAGGGATCCTCCCACCTTGGCCTCCCAGAGTGCTAGGATTATAGGCGTGAGCCACCATGCCCGGCCTGTATCCTTAATTTTTGAAGGACAGTTTTTCTGAGTATAATACTTCTGTTCAGCAGTTATTTTCTTTCAGCACTTGAGAGCATCATCTCACTGCATTCTAGCCTATAAAGTTTATGGTGAAAAATCCATTCATAGTTTTATGGATGTTCCCTTATATGTATGTAACAAGTCACTTTTCTCTTGCTGCTTTCAAAATTCTTGCTGTCTTTGATTCTGACCAATTTGACTATAATGTGTCTCACTGTGCATTTCTTTGAGTTCACCTTTTGTGGTGTCCTTTGGGCTTCTTCAGTCTGGATGTCTGTTTCCTTCCTCAGATTTGGGAATTTTTCAGTGTTGTTTCTTTGAATAAGCTTTCTGGTCCTTTCTCTCTTTCTGCAATTCTTATAATACATCAATTAGTTCACTTGATGGTATACCATAAATTCCTTAAGCTTTGTTTACTCTTTTCATTCCTTTTTCTTTTGGCTCTTCTGAATTATTTCCATTCACTTGTCTTCAAGTTTGCAGATCCCTTCTGTTTGATATAGTCTGCAGCTGAACCAATATAATGAATTTTTTGGTTTAGTTACTATGTTCTTAGCCTAGTGATTTTTGCTTGGTACTTTTTAGTATTTTCTATTTCTTTGTTGAAGTTCTCATTTTGTTCATCCATTGCTCTTGACTTCAGTGAGCATCCCTGTGATAGTTATTTTGAATTCTCTGTCAGATAAATAATTCCATTAGAGTCAGTCACATACATAAACCTTATATTTTAGAGCAGTATTAGGTACCCAGAAAAATCAAGTGAAAGGTATAGAGAGTTCCCATGTATCCTATGCTTCCCACATGTACAACCTCTCCTATGATCAGCATCCCACACCAGAGGGGTACATTTGTTACAATTGATGGACATACACTGATATATCATTATTACTCAAAGCCCACAGATTACATTAGAGTTCACTCTTGGTGTGAACTCTCTGATATAGAACATTAGATTATTTAGTTTTTAATGACTGGAAAGCCTTATTTCTTCAAAAAATATTAAATATCTGTTGAAACACACCACCTATCTAGTGACAAATAACCATTCAAGATTCATTAGGTAAGCACTCAAATTAGTTTTATATAATAAAAATAAACAGGAATTGTGCATGTTGGCTATACTTCATTTTACACATTATTTTTTAGGCCTTCATTTATAAGATATAAAACTTAAAAAACTTCTCTATTGGCATTTTCATTAGATTTAAATGATTCATACTACCAACAATGCTAGGCTAAGCACTGTCCTTTCCTTTAAAATCTAAGTTTCTAAAAATTTTATCTTTCAATCAATACAAAAGTGATCTGGTTCACACTATTAACTGCCCAACAACTTGTTTAAAAAATTAAATATTCTTTGTTACATACAAGAAATGTTTTCCATGCTCTTATTTTTAAAAAACAAGATTCTTATATACATAATGAATATAAATCCAAACTTACAAACACAATTGCAAAGATGCAGAAACAACCCAAGTACCCATCAATACATGAGTGGATTAATAAAATGTGGTACATGTATATCATGGAGTACTACTCAGCCATAAAAAGTGGTGAACTAATACCTCTTATATTATTAACCTGGATGGAGCTAGAGACCATACTTCTAAATGAAGTATTACAAGAATGGAAAAACAAACACCACATGTACTCACCATGAAATTGGAACAAATCGAACACTTATGTGCACATATAGAAATAACATTCTTGGAAATGAAGCAGGTGGGAAGGGGGGGAGGGGGAGAGGGAATGGGTAAATTCACACCTAAGGGATTGTACAATGCACACTATCTGGGAGGTAGGCACACTTATAACTCTGACTGCCATGATACAAAAGCAATTTATGTAACCAAAATGTTTGTACCTCTATAATATTCTGAAATAATAAATTTAAAAAACTTATAATAAACCCACATGGTAGCTGAAATCCTGTCAACCTCCAGCCCAATACAACATAAATCCACAGTTTTATGCATAAATAATTCAAAATTAATGTTTATAATGGAAATGTCAAGAAGTCATAACTACTCCACATAACTACTGAGGGGATTCCACTATACTTCAACCAGGCATGGCAGATGTGCACACCTGATAGACAGTTTAAAAAACTAAAGCTATCAGAGCTATAAACGAGGAATAAATATGAACATATAGCAATGCCAAAGCATTAAAGCCCTTAAAAGAAAGTGAGTACAATGTGATGTAAACCAATCTCTGCAGTAAGCCACTTTCCACTGATTTATAAAGCTATGATTTTATAATTCTTTGAAAAAAATTTTTTTTCTACACTGCTGTACACAGTAATTTCAGTGTATATCCTTGACTACAATGCAATCTTCAAACCCTCTTGTAGAGCGTGGCATACCTCAACAGAATTTCTCCAGAAAGTCAGCTCTACTTGCCATGCTGCCGAAGAAGGCAGGAGAAGCCTCCATGGCTTGACGGCTCACTTCTTTTTAGATCTGAGTAATAATCCATGTGTAAGTGTACCACAGTTTATCCATTCACCCACTTAAGCACATTTCTATTGTTTCTAACTTTTGGCTATTACAAATAAAGCTGCAATAAACATCCATGTGCAGGTTTTTATGTGGATGTAAGTTTTTCACTCCTTTGAATAAATACCAAGGAATACGATTGCTGAATCATATGGTAAGTGTAAGTTTTGTAAGGACCTGCTAAACTGTCTTCCAAAGTGGCTGTACCATTTTGCATTCCCACCTGCAATGAGTTTCTCTTGCTCTACGCCCTCACAAGTATTTGGTATTGTCAGTACTGTGCTTTGGATTTTGGCCTTTCTAATACGTGTATAGTGAGTTATTTCAATTTGCAGTTCCCTCATGACAAATGATGTTGAGTATCTTTTCATATGATAACTTCCCATCTGTATAGCTTCTTTGGTAAGGTGTCTATTCAGCTCTTTTGCCCATTTTTTAATTGGGTTGTTCATTTTCTTACTGTTGAGTTTCAATAGCTCTTTGCATATTTTGGATACAATCAGATATACCTTGTACAAACATTTTTTCCCAGTCTGTGACTTTGCTTTTCATTCTCAACATTGTCTTTTGCAGAACAGAAGTTTTTAACTTTAATGAAGTACAATTTATCAATTATTTTCTTCATGGATCACACTTTTGGGTATCATTAAACTTATTTTTTACTTTCTAAAAAGCATGTGATTCCTAGTTTTCTCACTAAAAAGGACTAGAAGCAAGATAACTCAATGGCAATGAATAACCTTCATGTCTAGATTATGGTTTCTAAATATGATTTCTTACAAACAGAAACTGGCTCTTTGGAGACATAGCTGATTTCAAAGTCTGGTCAGGAAATGTACAAAATGAGCCTAGAACATCATATCACACCAGAAAGCAAAGAAGCTATCACACTATGACAAAAGGACAGGGACCAATTTGCAGGGACTCCCAAAGGCAAGATTTGGGACAGTTTGGGAATCAAAAAGAATAGCAACTGCATCAAATAGTTAAAAATATGAGTTCTACAATGATATTAAAAATGAAGCCCCAAATAAGCAGAACCTCATTGGTCACCTTTAGAAGTTGGTAGGTCATCAACTCATTATTCTTAATACTGATGAATAAATAAAGGAATTAAACAGCTTTCTCTCCTTTCCTGTATTTCAGAGACTTTAGAGACACGTTAATAAATACAATGTATATACCTTTTTATATACCCACATTTGAATAACCCAACTGTAAAAAGACATTTTTGAGACAACTGGAAACCATAAACTGGGTTTCAGATGGATACTAAGGAATTATTATAATTTTTGTTAGGTGTAATAATGACAAGGTGATTATGTGTTAAAGGTCTTATCTGTGAGAGATACATGCTTAAATATTTATGGCTGTCTTAGTTGTCCACTGCTATAATAGACTACTACCAACTGGGTAATTTATAAAGAAATTTAATTTACTCATGGTTCTGAAGGCTGGGAAGTCCAAGAACATGACACTGACATTTGCTCAGCCTCTGGTGATGGCCTTCTTGCTGTGTCATCCTAAGGCAGAGAGGCAAGGGAGTGCATGAAACAGAGAATCCACTCCCAAAAACCCATTTAAATTTTTTTTTAATTAAAATGCTTTAATTAAAAAGCCTGTTTCTAAAAAGACATTAAACCCACTCATGAGGGAAAAACCTTCATGCTCTAATCACCTCTCAAAGGCCCCACCTCTCAATACTATTACAATGGCTATTAAATTTCAACATGCATTTTGGAGGGGACATTCAAACTATAGCAGTAGGTAAGATAATATGATGCTGGAATTTGCTTCAATTTATTCCAGTGAGGGTGGGGAGAAAGATGAAGGAAGAATAAATGAAATAAGATTAGCAAAATGATAATTTTTGAAGGTACATTATAATTAAATGGAGGTTCATTATATTATTCTTTTGTGTATTTGGACTTTTCTATATTAAAAGTTTAAAATATTGCTGCATATATCTTGTATTTTCCTGGATAGAGCTGGAACCCATACTACTAAGTGAAGTATCCCAAGAATAGAAAAACAAGCACCACATATACTCACCAGCAAATTAGTATTAACTGATCAGCACCTAAGTGGACACATAGGAATTACATTTATTGGGTATTGGGCAGGTGAGCGGGGAGGAGGGGATGGGTATATACATACATAATGAGTGAGATGTGCACCGTCTGGGGGATGGTCATGCTTGAAGCTCAGACTTGAGGAGGGAGGGGGGGCAAGGGCATTATATGCAACCTTAAAATCTGTACCACCATAATATGCTGAAATAAAAAATAAAATAATTATTGCTGCATAGTTTGTTGAATTGGTAAACATATAATTTGATTTAGATAACTCCTAGTTTATTATTAGAAATAGCATTTAAGTTGCATCCTTAGGCACACACCAGTTTTGCACTGGTAGAATATATACACAGGATAAATTTTTGGAAGTGGGATTTCTGAGTGAGAGGATATGCTCATTGTAAATGAGTTTTACTGCAAAGTTGTTCATGGCAGAGGAGGTCTTGAGAGTTTCCATTTCCCTATCCCCTTGTCAGCACTGGGTATTAAGACAACTTCAAGTGGTGACCAGGAACCAATATGAGGTTATTTCAAAACTTCTAATTCCCTATGGGGCTTATATGGGATTTAAAATTGATGTCTCCATGCCTTCTTTCATTTGGGAGTCATCAATTTCAGAGATTAAATAAAGAGAATGATGTGTTTAAATTGAAGACCCTTTGACGGGGGGGATTTCAGTGTCAAAGCTTCTGGCCTATAAATTGGGAGCTTTTTGATTTTGAGGGAATAAATATATGACCAGAAGAGAATAACAGGTTGATGGATGGCACTGAAAACAGGCAGTTTGCTGGATGTGGCCAAATTTATTATAAGCAGTGTTTTGGTAACCAGAAATTTATGTGCAAATAAAAAAACAGCTGCTGTTATTCTGACAGTCCTAACTAATTACTGAATGAATGAAAAGTTCCCTTTGACATTATTGCACTTCAGGATATATTTCATGTGAAATAAGAATTACAGTTTAAAATTTACACTATAAATGAAACTTACAATTTCATTTTCAAATATAAAGAGCCAAATGATTTAGTTATTGTTATCTTAGCAGAACAGTGAACTCAAATATCATTAAAAGGTTTTGTAGGAGGAATAGTACCCATGAAGAAATTAGAAAGTATTGTCTAGGGAACATCAATACATAATTGAATAAGAGACTCTGAGACATAAAATACCTGTGGCAGTTATCAATTTATTGCTTCTCAGCTCCAAATCAAAACTTCCATATATGCTCTGCGATAATGGACAGATGTCCTTTAAGCATCTTGCCTTTATAGTGAGCAATATATTAAGCATTTTCAATATATAGTACTGGCAGGACATTGCAGGAGGAAGGAGCTCAAACAGCTGCTGCTTTTTGGGGTCAATGGTGTAACTATGGGGACACAGGATGCAGCTTGCCTCTGGCATGTGACCAGGATGCACATTTCCTCACCAACATTGCAGTTCCAGCACACTGCTTGACATGAAAAATTGGACCTGAAAGTCCTCCTGTCTGCACCAGCAGCCTGATTCCTCACCTATACCCTGGAGGGCTCCCATCAAGCCACCACTGTCTCTGTAGGGCTGGGCATGGCTCACCTACACCATCAGCACCCCCTCTGCAAACTTGTGCCACTCAGTGCTGATCACCTGTGCCCCGCTGGCACTCTGGCATACTGCTTCCTGCTTCCCACTGACTGCAGATACAGCCTGAGTAAGCCACCAAACTTCTTAGCTATCCAGTAGGCTAACCTGACTCCAATGAGTTCTGAAACCCAGATTTGGAGGGACCCCTTCCAAGTTTGCCTTCTTCAGGTACTCATCCTCAGCCATAGTTTCCTTATAATTTCTGGTCACACTAGAGTTTGTTTGTTTCTTAAGACACAAGGTCTCACTCTATTGCTCAGGCTGGAGTGCAGTGGTGTGATCACAGCTCACTGCAGCCTCAAGCTCCTGAACTCAAGCGATCCTCCTGTCTCAGCCTCCCAAATACCTGGGACTACAGGCACATGCCACCAGGACCAGCTAAATTTATTTTGGTAGAGACAAGATCTTGTTCTGTTGTCCAGGCTGATCTTGAACTCCTGGACTCAAGTGAACCTTCTGCCTCGGCCTTCCAAAGTCCTTGGATTATAGGCATGAGGCATTGCACCTAGCCAGGTTTTGTTGTTGTTGTTTTTAAGAGATGGGGTCTTGCTATGTTGCCCGGGCTGAAGTACAGTGGCTATTCACAGGTGCTGTCATTTTTCACTATAGCCTTCAACTCCTGAGCTCAAGTGATCCTCCTGCCTCAGCCTCCCAAGTAGCTGGGACTACAGGCATGTGCCACCACACTTGGCTGATAAGCGTTTAATAATGTGCTGAAGAATTATCTTTCATTTTGAAGAAACAGCAAATATTATTCATACAAATAAAGGATTTCATTGGAGAAATCATAAGTGTACACTAGATGGCACTGTTTGTTTGCATTTGTTATAAACAGGGCCTTTGAGAATTAATCTGTACTTTGTTTTTAGTAGTAGGAGGAAATCCAAAAGGAGATTCTTGAGGAGACCTAATTCTCTAGTTCTGTTAATCATTCCCATTTTGGAAAACATACGATATTATTAAACATCTTCTCTCAGACCTGGTAGCAAAATGGTCAAGAGTGCCTGACAGCCATCATTGCTCCTGCACAACATGATGCAGACATTATCATGTGTGCCTGAGTCACTCCAGGCCAGATTTTGGTAATAAGCCTTCTATAGTGATACACTTGCTCACCTCTTGGAAACCATATTTGTTCAGAATGGTGTACCATGTGTGGTCCTTTTCACCTACTGTGGAAATGTTGCTGGAGAGGATGTTCAGGGCTGACCCCCCAAGAAAGGTGTAATCCTTGGACAAGAAACACTTATGAGAAGGTAGGAATTGGAAGTGCTGGGCCTCAGAGACAGCATACGAGAGGTGGCACCTGCCCAGTTATATATGCTCTGACAAGAATATTCCAGAATATCCCAGGGAGTATTCCAGAACTTTAAAGACTACACTAGAGCAATAAGGCCTTGCTGGGCATGACAGAGGCTTTTGAAAGCGTGGCTGCTCCCTAAAGTTTGTTATTGTTACTGAGAGTGAGCTGAGGTCTTCTAGTCTTGGGAAGACCTTCTTCCTAGCAGTAGGCCAGAGAAGGGATGCCATCAGCATCTCTTTGCCTCCTTTTCTTGAGGCTGAAGATGAGGAGCAGAGGTATTTGGCAAGAAGTTCCCAGGTGGTGGGGCTAAATATGGTCCTTTCCATGCACACAGCCCCAGAACTAGAACCAGAGGCCTCCTTGTTGAAAAGTGTGAGCTGAAGGTGAGAACTGATATGTAAATCAGACTAACTGGGTTGTGATAATCTTGACATTTATTTTCCTTTTCTCACAGATTTTAGTAAATCCCAACTTGTAGGTCCCAGCTCAGTTTTAGCTATGTCATTGGGTTCAGTGGGAAACCAGAGATCTTCCCCTGCGTGAGTGGAGAAACACCACCTTCTTGTGGTCAGCATGATGGTAGTGCAGTATTTTTTTTTTTTTAATTAAAGTATCATTGCCTTATTGAGCTATAGGACATTAGAAATTTGTACAAGTAACCAGAGATCTAGATGGAGATATTGGGCCCACCATGGAATCAGGGCATTTGCACCTCTTGAATCTGCCTCTCCCCAAAGTTAGGGCCCATTTTTGCATATGCCTAGGTGACAAAAACAAGATGTGCTTCAATTTGAACTCTGACTCCCCAGGGGCAGGGCAGGTGAAGCTGGGGTCATCCGATCCTGCAGATCTGGATGGCCACAGGGATTCCCTACAAGAGTGAGAACTCTCTGCAACATGGGATATTGAAGGCTATCAGGCCCTGTGGTCTCTGATGAGAAACTAGGAGAAGAAGTGAGGGCCAAATGGAAAGATTTGGGGGGACTCAGACCAATATAAAATCAGGTCTAATTTAAGGGGTGCTCCAGGAACACTAGGCTCATTAGGGAGTCATTGTAACTTTTGCTTTTTTGTTGCTGTGATAATTAGAGTTCAGAGGAAGAAGTATATCTGGTAAGTAAAGTACAGGCAAGGAACTCTGAGAGGGAACTTAAGGCCTGAATTTCACCTGTAGAACGTGTCCCAAGTAAAGCAAAATAAGCTTGAGACTGGACAGCAATAAAAGATAGTAGAAACACTTCCCTCCCTTGGTACGGTCAGCCAGTAGGGCTCACAGATGCTTGGCTGCAAGTCTCGGGCAACCCCACTACTGTGTGCCCCTGATAAACACGCGAACCTTAGGGCCCAAGATCATTCATTCAGCCTTTTGAAGACCCTACTGTCACACAGAGCACAGAAACAATGTGGCCAGCAAAATGTGAATGACACCAGATGCTGCATTTAACAAGGAATAAAGGAAAGATAAACACTGTTGTCCCACCTGTCTCTTCATATTCTAATTCTATTCCTACCTGCAGTGGTG